TTGTAAAACTCAACATATTTTAACAAATCAATTGGCCATATTGAAAATAAATTAAGATCGAAGAGAAAACATCATCACAACTTCTTTAACATTCTCAAGGCTCAACTAATTCAAATCACCATGTCACAAAATCTCAAAATAAGGAGAAAGTCAGAGAAAACTACTCAGAACTCATGGGGAAGATACGACAAAACTCGGAATTTATATATAAAAGCAAAGTCATACAAACTACAATAAGTAAATACCACTTATCTCTAATTTCTCCCCAAGCAAACTCCTCAAAGTTTTTCTAAATCTCTTCCTTTCTTTACAGTACACAGAATTCTTTTTTGAAGCGACAAGGAGGAAGAAATCTCTCACTTTCCCTCCACTCTTACAATCTCTCGAAGAATTCCTCACAATCTAACCTTAAATTAAACTCTCTACACTCTACACACTCTACACCCTCTCTTCAACTTCCTCCCAAACTCCTCAATTTTTGGCCAAAAGTTTCTTTTAAAGTTGTAGAAGAGTTTTCTCAAGAGTTGCCTAAGCATCCCCTAAAAAATTATCCACATTCAACGCACCTGTTGAGATGACCTACAATCTTGCCGTCAGCGGCCTCGAGGGCGTCGTCGGCGGCCTTCTGGATTACTTGATTCTAAACTCTCGTGAAAAACCTATCGTCTGCGTCGTTGGGCTCATCGTCAGCGCCCTAGTTCAAATCTTCATATTTTGGTCCTTTTCACTCCAAATTCGCTCCTTTTTGTATCTTTTTGCTCCAATGACCATAATTCAACATACCTGCAACAAAACATTAAAAATACCTTTCTTTAAAGTGCAATATCATCAAAATCAGTATAAAATATGTATAAAAATCTCAACATATTTTCCTTTGGTCAATAATGTAATTTTTAATCCTCCAATTAACTAAAAAATATTAAATCTTCTGAAAGAAGTGGGCACCATTAGTACTTCTACTATGCTCCTCCATTACAGCCTTGCTCTGCTTCAAACTTTTAACTTCTTCCTTAGCCACAACTGCTAATAAGAGTGAGAACAGAGATTAAGATTGTAATAAATATCTTATCATATGTGCGGCCTTAGGTATGTAGTTTTGTGGTTATTTCTAGGTGCTCCATATTTGTCTTGAGGTTTATATATAGAACCAATGCACAAATTATGAGGTGCTTAATTTTTATTTGTAATTCCTATTTTTATGGTATCAAATATTATTTGTTCTTGAGGTTAGCCCCATTTGTATATCCTTTTTGGCCCTTCTTTTTACTATTTCCCCTCTTTCAAGCCACATAGTATATTATTATTTTTTATTTTTATTTTCCATCCATGCTCTCTCCTCTCTTCTGCACTTATTATTTATTTCCAATGACAAGCTACCACTCAGAGATTAAAGCGTTGGCTGACAACATTCAACAGTTGGTTCCAATACTGATCAAGAGGAAGTCATTCTCTACACTCTCAATGATCTGTTAGCCACATATCAAGCCTTCTAAAACAATTATTTATACTAAACTTTATTGTATCAGTGTGGATGATCTCTATTCCCTTCTTTGCAATTAAGAAATCAATTTGGGAAATGAAAAATCCAAAGATGTTGTGGTAACTGATAATCATATACATTTTTAATCATTAGAGGTCGTCATAATTTATGAATAAAGTGACGTGGCAGAGGAAACATGCACATTAAAAAGGGTGCTACTGTGAACTTCAGGGGCAACAAATAAGAGCCAACCTACCATTATGTGTCAAATTTGTAATAAGATTGGTCACTCTACTTTGTTTTGTTTGCATCGAAAAATTTAGAGTATACTCTGACAATACCACCCTAAGCTCTCACTAATACCTCTAAGAAATTGGTGTTAGATTAAGGTGCAATGGCCCATCTCATAAGAAATATGAGTAAACTTAAAATAGCTAAACTTTATCATAACAATGAACAAGTTTTTTTTTTTGGTAACGGACAAGCTATTCCAATTCAACATCAAGGTGAGGGGAATTTCCCCACACCTCAACGTAAGCTTAAAATATCACAAATCTTTCATGTATCCTTCATATCCCATAATTTACTCTCAATTCAACAACTTACTAATGATAATAATGTTACCATTTCATTTGACTCATATGGCTTTTCTATTGCTAACACACAGAATCAGTAGGTTTATCTCAAGGGGCACGATTCTAAGGGTCTCTATCTAATTACTTTTTAGCAAAATCATCTAGCTCTTGTGGCTTCAATTACAAAATTCAATGTTACTAGCTCTTTAACCACCACTAATTCACATCTTACTTCAACAAGTCCTTCTGTCCCCATGTCAAATCATCGTCATATGAATAAGTTTCTTGCAAATGTTTAACGTCTTAATTCTACATCTAATTCTCCATCAGCATGACTTATCTTAAATCCTATTCATTCTATGCTTAAAAGATCTAAGACTGGTCACCCTAAACCTATAAAAAAACTTAATCTAGCACATGGTATTACTTTAATTTTATATCCAACGTGCTTTAATTAAGCTACCAAGAAAGTTCAATGGAGGGAAGTTATGGCTAAGAAATTGCAAGCTCTTCAACAACAAAGAACTTAAGTATCTATTCCTCCCTGCTGGTCAAACCATTCTTGGGTCTAAAGTGACATATACCACTAAATTCAAAAATAATTGTTAGATTGCTTGGTTTAAAGCTAGAATTGTGGCTCAAGGCAAAAAAAAAAGAGTTTGGGATAAATTACTTTGAAACATTTTGTCCAGTTACTAAAATTCATACTATTAGGATATTGTTCACTATAACACTTCATAATAACTAGGAGAAATTGCAATTTGATGTTTCATACACATTTTTACATAATATTCTTCAAGATACCATATACATGCATCAACCACAAGGCTTTCATGACACTATCATTTCAAACATGTTCGCCTTCTCAAAAAGGCCCCTTATGGTCCTAAGAAAGCTCCAAAACAACGTTTTAATATAATATCTACATTTTTTTTTATTGAGAATGACTTTACTAATAGTAAAGTTGATCAATTTTTGTTCATATCTCTTTAGGATAAAGAAAAAATATTTATTTTGATTTATGTTGATGATATCTCAGTTACAGGGAATTGTACCAATGATAAGTCCATTTTTATTTCTAACATTGATTTAATATTTCAACTCAAACTAATAGGACCTGTGGCGTGTTTCTTGGACATTTAAGTCATAAAGATGCAAAATGAATATTTTTTAAAATAGCAAAGTCATGCTAAACAACTTTTGAGTTTGGCTAGTACGCAAAATTGCGAGGCAGTGGCTACTCCCTTACCAAGGATTCAATTCACCCAAACAAGATGGAGTTATTTCATAATCTTGGTTTCTGCCTATAATTGAGAGGATCTTTGCACTACTTAACTATTACTAGACCAGATATATCTTTTGTTGTCAATTATTTATCTAAGTATAAGCATTAATCGATGTTTTATTATTTCTAACTCCTTATAAGACTTTTCAAACTTATTCAAGGGACTCTGAGATATAGCCTGGTAATTCATAAGGGTGGTGTAAATTTAAGGACGTACGTGGATGCTAACTAGATAAGTGATGAAAGTGATCGAAAATCTATAAATTGGTTTCCCTTTTTTCTTGGACAAACATTGATTTTGTGGAACTTTAATAAGCAAATTACAGTTGCTAGATTATCTACCGAAGTAGAGCATATAGCTCTGGCTAAGACTACCACCGATATTTGTGGTGGCTTATATAGGAATTCAATTTCACATCATACATCCTACTTTGATATACTACGATAACATATCTACAATCTCTCTTGCTAATAGTCCAGTATTTCAAGCATGGACAAATAACGTTGAAATCATTCATCTTTTCATCAGAGATCATATAAATTTGAAACATATTCTTGTTCATCATATTACCAATGAATGATATACTCACCAAGCCATTACCAATATTGCGATTTCATCTACCTCGGATGAAGCTAACATTTCGACAACCTATTAGCTTAAAGGGGAGTAATATAAGTAAGAACTTAACAAAAGATTGTGATAGATAAGTAATCATATATGTGGCCTTAGGTCTGTAGTTTTGGAGTTATTTCTAAATGCTCCATATTTGTCTTGAGGTCTATATATAAGACCAATGCATGCATTGTGAGGAGCTTAATATTCATTTTTAATTGATGTTCTTTAACTTCAACATGGGTGAAGAGGAGAACAATGACGACGCCATTGGCAACCAACTTCGCACAAAAAATGAAATGATATTCTTCACAACAATAATAACCAAGAGATACACGCCGAGCATGACAGCGAGGTACAAAAAATAATAAAACATCTTGGCAGTAATCGTCACAACGGGGCTGCTCAATTCCACGCACATTGTACACAGACTGTTCTCCTCTTCTAGTGAGAAGTGGAGCAATGCTCGTTGCTTGCGAAGACGAAGGAAAAAGGAAACTACAGAAAGTCATTGTTGACCTTCACAAACCTTGCCGCCTTCCATGGAAAGGGAAAGATAGAACTTCAGAAGCACCATCACATGTAAGAAATGTAGTCACATAAGGAAAAAATAAGAGGAGTTAGTGATGATGATTGAGATGGTGCACGAAGCAGGATAGCAAAATGGTGACGACATTGTAGATTTGTGGCACATATATCTTTGGGGTGTTAATTTTGTTATATTGAGGTGCTAAATAGGTAAAATAAAGAATTTTGAATATTATGTATGTAAATACCCCATTTATAAATTGGGGTTTTTTTTTTAATATTTTCATCTTTTTTTTTTTTAATAGCCAACAAAAGTACTCATTGACTGTCCTTTCGTTTTGCGGCCTTACCAAAATATCCGGGATGCTTGCCCTGTTACCTATCGAATTCTGCACTTGCGGTGCATGATCTGCGCACGCTTCCCGATCTCCATTTGGAGTTTTTCCAATTTTTCTAACAACATCCGTTGAGTTGACAACCACATCTCGCCTTATCTCTTCCATGGCGTCATTTTAATTTGAGCGCTCATTTCTTTGGCTTATCCTACATTTTTTTGGAGGAGCAGGTATCTTCCCTCTACTACTTCCCACTTCTCAATGATGCAGCAAAACTACGAGGCTTCGCTGCGCATCGCAAGGATCGCCGCCCATCTCAATCCTCTCACCTCGCAGGTTCCGTTCATTTCCCTCTCCTCCCATAGTAAAAGGTCTCTATTTTGATTTATTCTATGTTTATTCATGGGATAACTAGTGTTTTGCTTCTTTGTTAGTTTCCTGTTTCGGCGTTTGTTTGGTTTTTAGCTGTGATGCCGAGGTACTTCTCTCGCGAAAGTTGAATTCTTGCTGACGCTTGTTGTTTTGATACCTGATAGCTTTATAAGTCGTTCCATGATGATTATTCTTATAAAAAGTTCAAATTTTGTTCAAATCTTGTGGAGATTTCTTGATTTTATCGTTTCTGATCTATTTCTCCAATTCTTTTGGTGAGGAATTGGGTTTTCATCTATGTTTTTGTACTGAAGCATTTTTGATGGATATATTACTAAACTGGAAATATGTTCCAATTATTGCTTTCTTAACCGAAGACTTACTTTATAATAGCTTTTCGATATTTTCGAAGTTAAAATTTTGACTCCTGTGCATTAAGCATTACTGCTTCTGATGGAGCCTGATATGTTCCAAGCTAATTTTTTCACACAGAAATTAGGGCAAAACAAATCTCTTTCTTCAATAACAAAAACACCTATAATGCCCTTAGGGTAATAAAAGAAAAAATTTCTCTTAGGTTAGGCGTTGGAATAACAGTACTCCCTATCTAAAGAAGCACCTTGTCCTCAAGGTGGATAAAAGAAAACTGCTATAGTATTGAGCTCCCCTCCCTCTTTGTCAAATACTGTGAGAACTTGTAATGTACGATCTTGTAATGGTATTTTGGGGCAAATTTTTTATCACACCAAAAACATAGCCGCTTTGCTCGTTTTTTCTGAATCTTTGTACTTGTAAGGTATTTGAATATCGCCATCGGTTTGGGCCCATTATTCATGTCCCGAGGAGTCTCTCTCTGATTATTAACGGTTTGAGTTTTTGGTATTATCATGGTTGTAGCATTTCTATAGGATGCTCCACTTGTGATGCTCCTTTTAGTCATTTCAATTGCATTTTTATTTTTAGCAAATTCCACTAATTCCATAATTTCTCCAATATTCATGGTCTCAACAGACAACATGCTACAATGCCGGGTTTTAGACCCTTTAGGAAATTTTCCATCAATATTGCTTCATAATTCCCCCCAGGCTTTCCTAAAATAGTTTGATTCTCTCCCTATATTTTATGACAGTCTTGCCTAATTCAAGACAAAGATTTACTCGTGTAGGTCTCCTTCTTGAATGACTCAGAAATGTTCCAAGAAGCAATTCTTAAATTTCTCCCACGATTAAATCGAGTATCTAGCCTCTCTCCAGTGAAACTATGTTAGGACTTTCTCTTCCAAACATAGCCTTATCTTCCTAAGGTTTTCCTTCCCATTTGAACCATTTACTATGAAATATCGTTCCACTTGATACACCCACCCATGCGCACTTTTCCCCTAGAAGACTGACATATGCAATTTCCTAACCTTAGCACTCCCCCCAACTTCCTCTCCTTCCGATGTTTCCCCAATATATCTAGGGTAAAACTCTCTCCTTCGACCATCTTCAAACGCCATCTTGGCTTCTCCTATTTCTTCTTCATGCCCCTCCATACTTCTTGCATAACCCCTCCAAGTTTCAGCCCAACTCCATTCATCAAAAATCTCTATTCCCGGTTCTTTGATAATGGATATTTTCCTTCTTATATTCCTCTCGTTCAATCTCTCTCTTTGGATTCAACCAAGGGTTCTCCGGTCAACCCTTGGTTAGAGTTTGTAAATTGAATCACCAACAATATCTTGGATTTAATATCTATAAGTTTCCATATCATCCCAAATTTAAGTTGACTCACATCTTCCTCCAATTTATTTTCCAAATCATTACTTTTGGCCACCATTACTCCAAAAACTGGTTTCAATCATGAAAGAGGAACTACTGTATGTTGAAATATTGTTGATAGCTTCCAAAGTAGTTTGAATCATGTCTGTACCAATTCAATTACAACTGTACTTTGCAGAACCCTATGTGCAGTGATCGTGCTGTTTGTACACCATGATCTTGTCATTTGCATCCCAACTAACTTTTTCCGTGACTGAATTACACAAATTAGGTCACGGAGCATATGCCTTGATCCGTCTTTGCTTCCCAGCTAGCTCTATCGATCTCGTTAGCTTACCTATTAGCTCGTAACGTGACTGTCCGTACCTCCTTTCAGTCGTATATGCCGCAATCCCAATGCTATTGTCTTGCTCAGTTCTTGTATTGCAATTATGTACGCCACCATCCCTTTGTTGCTTCCTGTGGTTGTTTCGACACTGGAAGCCATGATCTAATCATTTAAATGAGAGTGTATCGTGATTTTCCAAACGCTGTAAGCACCGATCAAATTCCCAAAATCGAATGCTTTGATAGCACTTGATACGATCAAAGTCAATTAAATTAGGGCAAAACAAAATTCTTTCTTCAATAGCACAAACACAACACATAAAGGATAAACGCCTACAATTTGAGGTATGTGATCTCTCATAAATACTACAATTTGAGGTATGTGATTTTTCATAAATCCTACAATTTGAGAGGTAGGAATTCTCTCTCAAACCCTAACCCTAAGACTCAAGACACAATATCCTTCATAACTCTAACCCAAAACTATTAAGTCCTATTTATACCAAACAATATTTAATAATAAATGACTAAATTACCCTTAGGCTAATAAAAGATAAATTTGCCCTCAAGCTACGCACCGTTGTAACATATCCCTTACTGTTTACTCGATGATTATTTCCATAAAAAATGAAAGACAAATTACATAAATGCTAAATTGCAACTCATGTTTCTTTTTAACGGTTGATTGATCTGCGGTTTATATTCTTGAAGGTGGAGGAAGTCAACTTACTTCATGGCTCAAATTGCCGCTCCAAGGGTGGTTCTTCAGGGTTCAAAGTGGCAGTATTGGGTGCTGCTGGAGGTATAGGACAACCTCTTGCCATGCTGTTGAAATTAAACCCTCTTGTATCAGTTCTGCATCTCTATGATGTTGTCAACACTCCTGGTGTCACTGCTGATATCAGTCATATGAACACTAGTGCCGTGGTATTTCCTTCATTCCTTAGTTGTTGTTCTCCTTAATTTTAATTTTAACATTATTCATCCATGCAAGATAGTTGGGATTAGTAGACTTGCTGATATTGAATGAATTTATCTATCCCTATTGGATTGCATTCAGCCAAATGAACTTTTGGATTATGTATTGGTGTACTTGCAATTTAATGCATGAGGGATGCTATTTATCTATTGGCTTATCAATTGGTATTATCGAGTATTGTAGTTAGTTTAACCTTCATATTTAGTACAGGATTGTACGGAGTCTAAAACATATTAGTAACACTAAATTAGCTTTGGTTAGTTTTGAAATCTTATATTTTGGGGGCTAGTTTAAATTGTATATTTTTTTCCATTGTGTGACACTTTACCATAACCAACTTTGGCATTTAGTGATTTAGAATATCAATATTTAACAGTTCCATATTAGGACAAACTTTTAATTTTATTGTCAAGAATTCGTATTTGTAGTAATGTTCGACCATGGCTTGGGCAGGTACGTGGATTCCTGGGTCAACAACAATTGGAGAGTGCACTCACTGGAATGGACCTTGTCGTCATCCCTGCTGGTGTTCCAAGAAAGCCTGGAATGACTAGGGATGACTTGTTTAAGATTAATGCTGGCATCGTTCGAACACTCTGTGAAGGGATCTCAAAGTGTTGCCCGCATGCAATTGTGAACTTGATTAGCAATCCTGTGAACTCAACTATTCCAATTGCTGCGGAGGTATTTAAGAAAGCGGGTACCTATGATCCCAAGCGTTTGTTGGGTGTGACGACACTCGATGTAGTGAGAGCCAACACTTTTGTGGTAGGAAACAGATTTGTGTTTTTATTTTGCATTCTATTTAGTCAAATTTTAACTATGAATAGTTGTTGCATAACTATCTAAGATGAAGTGGAATTCTTTCTTTATATTGAAAGTTGTAACCTTGCATGATGATAGATCATTACATCCATTTTATCTCATGGACATCTCAGGCAGAGGTTTTGGGAATTGACCCAAGGGAAGTGAATGTTCCCGTGGTTGGCGGTCATGCAGGGGTTACAATATTGCCTTTGTTGTCACAGGTGTGCCACTTGTTCTCAGCCTTCTTATTGCTTTGTTTTTTGTTTCTCATGGACTGTATTTTTTTGTCTTTTGTATTTTGAGAACTTTGCTTCGAGTTTTGGATGGTTTATATCTATGCAGGTGAAACCTTCTTGTTCTTTAACCTCAGAGGAAATCAGTTATCTTACGGACCGCATACAAAATGGTGGAACTGAAGTTGTTGAGGTAAAATGAGTGTCTAATACGGATTATATATATATATATATATAAGCAAATCTACAAAACAAAACATCTCTAGTCCAAATTTATTTTTGGGATGTATTATATGAAGATGCATGCTTATGCCGGCAAAACTGTCTATGTGGGTCCTTTATGACTAAATTTCCTGTACATGGAACTCCTACCATTTTCCTATACTATCATTTATTTACTTGAGGCAACATTTAACCCTGCAATAATAAGAGCGTTGAAAGTGTCCCCAGTCATGCTAAAATTGGAGAAATTTAACTTTTGATGATCGTAGCGGTTCTTAGGTACAAGATGAGAAAATAACCTGATTGAATATTTATATTTTAGGTTGACAATGCTAAACATTTCATAAATAGTGTAGAAAACATCTTTCTATATGGGTTATAGTGATATATTGTGAAGGTTTTAGTTTCCACGAGTTGTTTTTTGTTCAAATCTATATCAAAGTGGATAATAGTACCGTATTTAAGATGAAAGGTGAGTTTAGTTTCTAATGCACTACTGGTAGCCATTACTCATTGGCCTGAGGATTTTGACTTAATGAGTCTCCATCAATAAGTATATGGTCGTAGAGCAAACAATTTTCATGCAAGATCCATGGGTAGAGTAGGCTCTTAGTGCATGATGCTAGATTCTAATGAAAGTTCTTTTGAGAGGGGGGGTTCATAATCGATTCATAGATAATTCTTATAAGAGAGTCAGTTATTAAGATATATATTAGAGTAAAAAATAGTCACGCATTAGAAACAAAAGTTATGTTCTTAGTGTAATACTAGTGGCCATTATCCAAGATTAAGCTTTTGAATTAATGCACATACATAGATAAGCATATACGACGTGAGAACACAACATGGAACATTTGAAATTTGTGGTGCGGCCGTGTTTATGGAAAAGCCATTTGAAACATGGGCAAAATCACGATATGTGTACAGCCCTACCCTCAAGTCTCTCGTGATTGTTGTCGTCCCCTTTCTCGAGCTGCTCTCCCCTCTTTTGTCTCTCGTGTTTATCTCGATCCTCTTTGATCTATGACTAGGGTTTGGTTCCTTTCTCTTCTCCTCTCTCTCCCCTCTGTTCTTCGATGCGTTCAGGATCATTGGTTGGTGGTTGTTGCTGCGAGCTTGCCTTTCCCTATATCTTTCCCTCCCCCCTTGTTCTTCGGCTGGGTTTGGATCATTGACTCTCTGTTGCCATCATGCCATTCTCTACGACCTTCTATTGAGGAATTTTGTTTTATGGTTGAAATTTTCGGGTCTTTGTTGTGCTGTGATGCTTTTGGTTTGTTGTGCTGTGATATTGGAATTTGGGATTTCTCTAGGTTATTTGTGCTGATGATGTTGGAATTTGGAATTTTTGTTTTCTATGCTTTATCCGGTTGTTTGTGTTGTTGGATTTGGAGTGTTGGTTTGTGCTGTTAGATTTTGCAATTTTATAGGATCTCTGTTATACTTTCAGTTTGATTGTCTTTATTCCCCGTTCGCTTTCCGATTGATAGATTTGAATGATTGTGCTGTGTTGTTGGTTGTCGTCCGAAATTTGGTGGTGGTTGTGATTGAATGTGAACATTATTTGGAATACAAATGGCTTATGTGTTAGTGCTATATTGCCCTTGTTAGTAGCAGTAGTGATTGTGGTGGTTTCCCAAGATGATGGATTAGGATGTGTTGGTGTGGATGTAGTGGTGTGTGGTACGGAGATAGTGTTGTAGGGTGGTGGTGTGGTGTAGATGTGGTGGTATGTGTAGTCAAGGTTGTGATGTGTCGGTGTGTATGTGGCGGTGTGTGCTATGGAGGTGGTGTTGTAGGGTGGTGGTGTGGTGTGGATGTGGTGATGTGTGTTTTGGAGGTGGTGATGTGTCGGTGTGTGGTATGGAGGTGGTGTTGTAGGGTGGCGGTATGGTGTGAATGTGGTGGTGTGTGCTGTGGAGGTGGCGGTGTCACATGTCGGTGTGTGGTATGAAAGTGGTGTTGTAGGGTGGTAGTGTGTCTTGTGGAGGTGGTGTCATGTGTGTGAATGTGTTGGTGTGTGATATAAAGATGGTGTTTTCGGGTGGTGGTGTGTTGTGGATGTGGTAGTGTGTGGAGTGGAGGCTGTTTAGGGTATAGGGTTGTGATGATATTATGACATTGCTATTTCCCTCTGAGTTGTGATAAATATTTTTTATGGCAAATATTTATGTTGATTAAATCTTTTCATGCTAATAATACGATAATTAAAAAAAACCGGTTCATCTTCTATGTGGGATAAAAATGCAAAAATAATATTTTGCGATCTTTGCCTTAAGGAGGTCAAATTGTGAAATAGGGTGGTGGTGTGGTGTGGATATGGTGGTGTGTCTTGTGTAGGTGGTGGCGTCATGTGTGTGAATGTGTCGGTGTGTGGTATAGAGATGGTGTTGTCGGGTGGTGGTGTGCTGTGGATGTGGTAGTGTGTGGTGTGGAGGTTGTTTAGGGTTTAGGGTGGTGATGATATTATGACATTGTTATTTCCCTCTGAGTTGTGATAAATATTTTTTACAGCAAATATTTATGTTGACTAGTTCATTTCATGCTAATAATACTATAGTTGAATCCGATTCATCTTCTATGTGGGGTAAAAATACAAAAATAATATTTTGCTACATTTGCCTTAAGGATGATCGAATTGTGAAATAAGCCAACAACCTATTTCAACAAGACGGACAGACAAAATATTATTAAAAAGTTAAAGAAAAGTACATATAAGGAGTACGATAGGATACAATTAAAAAATAAATGGGATCATCTAAAAAAGAATTGAAAATTTTGGAAAGAATTGATGCGAGGATCCACGATTTTGGGTTAGGATCCGATAAAATGAACAATTGATGCCTCGAAGGAATGGTGGACAGAGAGATTGGAGGTGAGTATTTATAAAACGTCCACTACTTTTATCAAAATTTTCAATTTTTTTAGATGCATCAACATATCCTATGACTTTTTAGGTGGTATCAGTTGTGGAAAAATGTAAATATAGTGGCATCGATCCTGAGCTGGAAGAGAAATTCGATCGTATGTTTGATGATGTCGTGGCAACAGAAAGTAATGCATGCGCTCGTAGTGAGGCAGAGTTTGGTGGCATTGCTGAAAACATGAATGCTGAACAAACAATGATTCGAGTGAAGGCTCTAGCCCGAACTTCAATAAAGTTGAATCCATCAGTCCAATAAAGCGTCCCACGGTTGAGAAAAAGAAAAAAAAAGTGCTGCTTTCATTAGAAGCCAAATTTCATAGTTGATGGCTTCATGCATCAATGACCCAGGCCCATCACAAGCAACGTCCATTCAATTGATCATGCAAATTTTGGAGGTAATTTCAGAAATTTATGAGGTCATGTTGTATTTGTTCTCTATGAAGTTGTTTGAAGACATGACCCATAGAGAGTTTTTAATGATGATGACACCTGACCGTAGGGTGCATTATTTATGTTATTTTCATGTGAACAGGAAAACTTGAGGGACGCTTGAATTTCATTTATTCTAGTTGGACATTTTATATTTTCTTTTTGATGGGCCGCTGTTCACGCTGCTTTGGTTTTTTATTTTTTCATTGAGACGTTAATGCTTGTTTGCTTTTTTTATTTTTTTATCGCGTTGTTTTACATTTGCTTTTCCACTTTTATTTGAATGCGGTATTTGTTTATATAATTATATGATAGTAGCTAGATTAGTGATTCTTATGTGTTAGCTACATGGATGTAAATAGAGAAATATGCAGAAGTAGAATTGCGGCTGCATTATGTTTGATGTATTGGTATTATAACTCATACATAGTTGGCTCTTCTTGCATGAAATCCTCGCACATTAGTGAAAAGCGGGTTGAGGAGTTGTTTGCAGACCATTGAACAAGATTAAATAATATGTTCCGTATGACACAACCCGTATTCATCGATCTTTTAGAGAAATTATATGGGAATCATGAACTTCATGGCTCCTCCCGGATGACTTCACAAGAGAGTTATTGTACACTCTAGATATTATCACATATTGAATTTATGAGAGGAGTCATGAAATGATTTCAACACTCATCTGAAACAATCTGTACATATTTTTTAGTTGAATTGAATGTATTAGTCTGTTTTCATTAGAATTTATCAAACCAAGTGTCCCAACATTTGAAAAGACTCCCATAGAGATTTCGCATGACGGGTGGTATATGCCACATTTTCAGGTAATTTTACTTATTCATTACAAACAAATATTGAATACAGTAATTTAGTTAATCTTGTTTAACATTTTAGAACTATATTAGAAGGATCAATGGAACACATGTGGATGCATGTATTCCAAATAATGAGAAAATCGCATTCATCGGGTGATGCGATTCACCAATGCAAAATGTCATGTATGTATGCGACTTCAACATGTACTTCACTTTTGTCATGACGGGTTGGGAGTACATTGCCCATGACAGTCAGATTTTCAAATTTGCAACACAAACTAAGAAATACAACTCATCTACCTCTAAATTTGCTTAAGATCAAACTTGTCTGATATTGTTCTTACTACAGTACTAATCATTATATTAATATTAGATAAATATTATTTGATTAATACTGGATATCCATTACAAAGAGGGTACCTGAAGCTCTATCCTGATATGAAATATCATATACATGTCTATGAGAGAGCCAACAATCACTCGGGGAAGAAGAGAAATGCTCAACAAGAGTAGTCTTCCTTAAGCGATGTCACTAAAAGAATATTTGAAGTTTGGAAGAAAAAATGCGTCATGCTGCACGATATGCCTATATCTTCGTTTTCCAAACATCTGTAGATTGTGCTCATCATGATGGCTCTCCACAACTATATTTTACAACATTTTTCATGTAGCGACATTGAGTTCAGTAGGACTGATGAAGATCATTCACATGTCCCTGCTGAGACATAAATATCGTCTTTGACAATCTGTTACAAGCCGAAATTGATGTGCTCGAGACTTGTGCTCAAGATGGGGAAG